TGAAAGTACACTGCATGGCCCGCCTCTTCTGTATCCCGGTTGGTGCAGACAAGTAGCACATTACGTTAAGCACCATTTCGCTTCATTTACACGCTGGTCAAGAGCTGCACCAAGGGTGTCTAGTCTTCCGGATAGTAATAAAAACTCAGAGTGTTCATATTAAAGAACCCTTGGCGGTGGGAATCCGATGAAGAGTAGGCAAAAACGCCGCTGTCCGTGGAAATTAAATTTACCACATGGTAGTCAAAAAATGCGGGGACTTTAAATTCCATTGTAATCAATTCCTATGAAGAATTGATTACTTTGTAAAATTATATGACTTCTAATATGATAAGCTGGCACGGAGTCATCACTTGTAACGGTTTATAATGATGTCGCTGTTGATTGACGTTATAAAACCTTTGAAATGGAAACCCAAGGTAGTGAGGTCAACATCCCGAATTTTTCGCAATGAACACGCACCATTTCTCTGCTTTTGAAATCTCAATAGACAACTCCAACTGATTCATTCTGGTACATTTAGTAATCTGTATATCGTGTACTAGAAAATAGTATAGAAGCTCGTGGACTCAGATTTCAGAAACAGGTTAAATGGGTAACTGGTGTTAATAGCAGCTAACTAGTTTTGGGTAGGGCTAAGTTGGTATAGAAGCTCGTAGACCCAGCCACAGATATTAGAAATTCGGCCGAATGACAGTGGACACACTAGGCTAATTTCGACGCCGATTGATTCGGCCGAACGATTCGGCTAGTGTGTCCACCGCATTAGAATAACATCATAACACTGTTACAATTGTGGTGCCGAGTGAATGTGTATCGAATATGTACTTAAAGTATAAAAACAATAAATTAGCGAAACCATATAATTACGTATAATGTGCCGTTATTGCAGAATCATGATTATTAAATTATATAGTCGTGACATTAACACAGGATGACAAGGCCTAATACAATATTTAATTGGGAGTAGAGTCTATAGATCAAAAAACGAGAAAGAAATACCCGGAAGTGAAATTTCTGTGCAATAAGCAGATCTAGATAACTACTGTATAGTCTTGACAATTAGATGAATTTTGTAGGAATAATTATGTGATATAACCGTGACCATGCATCTTGAGATAAACTCACGTCCTGTCAGCACGACACGTTATTATATCGTGAGTATATATGTCATACTTGGATTAAAAAGCACAAGCGATTCATCAAAAATACAGATAACAATATCGGAAAACTGCACGTTTTTAGTTACCTGGTTTTTATAACACTGTAGTCAAACATATCCAGTTACTACAGTCCATTTGCAAAAATCAATTGAGTGGATTAACATCGTCATGATTCCAGTTAAGTTTAGAAACGGCATCCAGTCACACCTCTCGTCATTAAATACTACACGTGTTTAGTCATCACAAACACTGATTAGTCAACATCATACATGTGTCATCATCGACCCCTTTCAGGCATAGCAGCCCAAATAGTCCTTATCAGAAAGATTTCACGGGTACAAATTCGGTTGCGAAAATATTTAAGGACTTTCAAAATTTGTAAGGATAAACAGCGTGTGATTCTGGCCAAAATGTACCCTGTCAAGAAACCTGGTCCATGTGTACACCTAAGCGACTGGGCGATCGTGGACTAGGTGGATCAAGCAAATTCCGCAATCCATCTGTTAGAAAAATCGCAAAGTGAAGAGAAATTAGAGAATTAACGGAGAATAAAAACATGTCTACATTCCACATACCAAATGGTGATATTTTAATTCTAATTCCCACGGGTTGCAATAATAATTCTAATCAATCTTCGATTACAATTAAGACTCAGTCTAGAAAATGCATATTAGAAGGGTACACAATAGAATAGCCGGACAGTTGAATAAGAAACGCAAACGCTGTTTCTAATGAAATGTTTATATATGAATATCGGGGAGTCATTGTGGTTCAGTGGGTATGGCTTTGGCTCACTAACCTGGCAGTCCAAGGATCAAGAAAGTTCCAAGATATTGTCCAGCCTGGTGGATTTTTGTCAGGACGAATGGCCTGGCAAGGAAAAGTATCTAGCCTTGCGGGTGTTATGAAAAATATTAGCACGTTAAAGATTCCCGAAATCGAAATACGGGTATGGCGTATGCCCGTTTTTATTAGCCTGCGGAGCACACAATAGAATAACTTAGTAGAGGAGATGTAAATCTAAGAGAGACAAAAAAGGGTAAGATTTAAAATGGTCTAATGTAGAAGTTTATCCCATTATAGAAAGGTTTATACCGTCGGATTACTATGTTGTGTAACCATACAGTATGTAATCCACACGATTTAACTTTACTTTATATGGTGCCAGGGAGGATTTTAAAATCACCATGTGTGGGTGTACATTTCCTACACTTGCCAGTCAGTGCGTTATTATTTCACCATAAGAATTGCGCACGTGCCGCAGTTATAGATAAGGGGATTGTTATTCAAGAAGCTCGTCCTCAAATCTACCTGGCAGTTGTTTGGTTTATGTCTGGGATGTCTCCTCTAAACCCCACCCACTGGATACCAGTGACATATTAAACCATTTGTTTTTGATGTCCCTAGTTTGAAAATGTTAAATTCTCGACACTTGTTGTCTGTTAATGCGATAATGGATACCCATCTGAAAAACTCAATTCACCCCCTTTCACTGTACAAATAGCTATAATAAACGTTAACTGTGTTTTTTCTTTATATATTACCAATATTACATTCGGCAAATGTCTGAATAGAGATTTGGAATTTGTGGAACTCCTCTGTCATAACCATTTCACACAATGCCACTCTTAAACTCAGTATACCTTCCTATAACATACATCTTTTAGGCTTTTTAGTAACATTCTGCTTGTTAATCCATATCCTAACCGCAGATAGTGCATGGAAAACGTCATCCTGATAACCTTAAGTTTTTTTTAACTGTAGATCAAAGGTGCTTTAATGTCCTAACCGGGATAATGAAGACAGGTATGCGCCATCCCGTCTTCATTAGCTCAGTAGGAACAGAACAGTAGGACGTTAAACCCCATTTCATTTGTGTACGCCATGCATTGCACTATGACCTACTCTTATTTCGATTTCCATCTGTCGGGGGATCTTTATAGTGCTGCCAACGTTATACACGGGGTGCTCATTTTTCGTCTCATCCGAACGTCTAGACGTCTTTCCTTGCCCCCAGTTCTGCACCACAAACAATTTTATCGACAACACCGAGATCGAACCCAGCCCACTTGGTTCGTAAATCAGCGCCACTCGTCTACATCATAGATTTTACATAAAGAAAAATGTGAAAGTAATTATGCAATTGTATAATAAAATGTTTTTCTTTGAAAAAGATGGTCATAATATGTAACTTTCTGTAACATGTATATGCTCTCTTATTTCAAGGCTGTACTGATGATAGTGGTTTCAGTTTTTCAAACTTCAAATGTTCATGGGGGATCACTTGGCTAAGTGGGTAAGACGCTGGCTCGCTAGCCTGGAGGTCGGGTGTTCGATCCCTGCATTGGCCGAGAAAGTTCATTGAGATTTTCCGGCGTGGATTCCCCTTGTGAGTGATGCAGGATCGAGGGCCTGACAAGGACAGCTGTCTAGTCGTTCGGATGGGGCGAAAAAACCGAGGTCCCGTGTACATATTGGCGTGCACGTAAAATATCCCTTGGCAGTTGGAATTCGATATAAGAGTAGGTCGTGGCGCCGCTGCCCGGGCAAAATTTCCCTCATAGCACACTGTATGGCGTATGCCCGTCTTCATTAGCCCAGGTTAGGAGCAGAACAGTAGGCCGTTAAACCCCATTTCATTTCATTTTCAAATGTTCACATGGTTTTAGTTAGAGCATATATTAAGAATGGTTATTTGAATTTTCGATCGACGTATATCTTAGTCTCGAAAAGATCTAGAAAAGTTACTAATTCTAATTTAAAGGAAAATATCACCACTGGATGTAAATTAAATAAAGGATCGGTCAAAGAGGTGTCAGATATTGCACGTGGCGAACTTGCATTCTACAGAACTTAAAAGTTATGTAAAACATGCAGGACATACGATTAGAGTTCCTAACCAGCCACACATTTTTGCTAGTGACATGTCAGACATATAAGTGTACATTTGTAAAGTACTTCCATATTAAGTCATGATCATTAATAAGATACGTTACTCTAAACCCAGTTCTTGGTTTTTATTATGTATGAAAAACGATCTGCATGTTGGGTTATTAGTTAAAACAAATTATCATGATAGTTGGAATAAGTGAAACGTCGATTCCATATCTTAATGGCTTCAGTTATCAAGTTATGGATTGCTTGGTTCTGTATGTCCATACCTTGCATCAAATTATAAATATATACACTTGGGCTTTGGTATAATAAGCTTCTCGCCCTTTGGGCTATTGGTATGGATTTCTTGGTATCGTATCTCCATAACTTGCATCATATAGACACTTGGGCGTTAATAGAATAAGCGTCTCACCCTTTGGGTTGTTGGTATGGAGTCCAAAACAATCATATTTTTGGTCATATTCAAAATTTTAAAAAAGTAAAAAATCAAGGAATAATTTTTTCTGAAATTTCCATTCATCAAAATCATGGAATACGCTCCGTTCTCAAATTTGGATTAAGAGAGAGGGGGAGAAATGGGGTTTAACGTCCACTCGACACAAAATAGGTCATTTCGGGACTAACACATGGTTTAATTGTATTTCAATAATTCGCTTGCGCGTAGGGGTCTTTAGCAGTGGGAGGAAACCGGAGGACCCGGAGAAAACCCACGAGGTTGGACAGGCGCCCTACCCCTTGTTACGTACAACCGGGGATTCGAAACCACACCAGTTGACTCAATGACAGGCCTTATGATACAGCACGCACGTGCTAACCATTCAGCCACCCAACCCCCCATTTGGATTAAAGAATATCCATCTAATTCTAGCCCCAAACTAAAATAGTCTATTGAATCGAAAATATGAAATCAGAAACATGTTTAAAATTAAAATGTGTTCTTACCTGCACGTTTTGATGTCCAAAGCCCCAACATAAACACATCGTCCCCCATTCAAACAATAATACCTGTCTGAATGCAAACATGCTACCACGTGCGTGTAGGTAAAGTCGAGTTCTAAAGGTGGACTATACATAAAGTTAGGGAAACGGCTGAAAAGACTCCGTTTAGTTCGAGGATGTTTGTGCAATAGGGCACCACTGCTGTTTGTAGAAGGAACGTCCTTTGTAAAGTCCGATGGAATAGAATCCATACTTTGAGTGTCACTTTGAGTAGACTTGTGGTTTATATTAGATTTATAAGGTAAAACGCGAGAATCTGAAGCCACTAAAGCGTTTAATTTTTCGCTGTTTTGTTTTAATCGTTTTTCCTGAGATAGTTTTCGCTTGTGTTTAATATTAGGTAAGTTCAGATTTAAAAATGTCAAAAAATCATTCCACGAAACTATTGAATTTTGGTCATCTTCAAAGTTTTTAGAACTTTCTGACGTTTGCGTTTCAATGTCTCTCATATTCCTTTTTAATAATTCTGTATAGTAGTTGGCAAGTTTAGGTAATTGTATTGATGGAAAGTCTTCGCCGATGACAGGCCCCGGCGGAGCTCTCCTGGCACTTGAGTTAGGTAGTGTCAAGGGCAAGCACTCACAAATCGCAAGTAGCGACAATAACATTTGGAACACGACTATCACTGTCACTTCAGCCATCCTAACGACGTTTTCATATTGGAATGAACATTCTACAAGTTTATATGTTTAAATGACGATGATTCGTCACTACAACTCCTTCTTGATGATAACTCCCACACTTCATACTCTACTCTACCATGCTTTGTAATAATATCTCACATCATTAGAGCGTGTCTCAGTTCCTGCCTGCACGCCGCTAAACACTCATTCCCGCCTTCTGCCGTCCCATCCACCACCAAACGTGGGGATACGCGTACGTCGGCTTGCAAGTGTCAGTGGAGCTTAAATCTACCCTTATAAACGTATAAATTCTAAAACATAATGGTCATAAATCTTTTGATCTTTATCTTGTAATGCAAAACTACAACGGTACGTACACCACTCGATTCGTTATTTTATAGACGGAAAGTGGCAAAAAGCGCGCGAAAGAATCATTTGCTATTAAACACACCTTCTTCCTATTTCTACACGTACTTAACGAGTCTGCTAGTTGGGTTAGTTTGCTAATAATGTGTATTGCCTGGGATTGTGAAAGCAAGTATTGGAATCGTATCATAGGCGTTTGATCATCATTGGCGGGGGTGGTTTGATTTTATTACCACAATCCAATAATAATTTCGAGCTAGTAAGAGTTAGCATGTAACATAACACATCTGTTTGCTAACAATTCCACTTAATATAAAAATCTGAGTGATTCCATACGCCCATAACAGTAGTATGAAATTCTTTCCATCTTTACAATTCATTTATGTTTCAATAAATACATTTACAAATCCTAAAGTCGTCCATGCACACAGCGACACGATTTATCTTTATTAGATAAAAGCTAACTTTGATAGAATAAATCTTCATTAGATAATAAAAGTTTGAATAAAAATTTACGGAACTATGAAGAAAGGAATTCTATGGATCGGTTTGCTTGTAATGGCGATTGGGTTATTTATCAATTCCAGAGCAACACGTCCTTTTAAAATCACAATGTTTAATTAATTCATAATTCTAGAATAAATCTGGCACTTATACAATTTTAAGAACTGGAAAAAGATTTACAGCTGTAGTTTTTAGATAATGTTACACTAGTTTGGCAATTAAATAAACATCTACATTGCATAAAAAATATTGCTATTCGAATTGTATCACATAAGCACCAGTAACCATATTATAACACCCCAGGTGATGAAACCTTCAACTGCTTTGTTAACAGAGCAATAAAATGACTCCAGTTTGTTTTTCCGTTTTTTTTATTCCAAACCTCGTTGAAATCCGGATTATATCTTGACGTAATCTAATTTGTAAATCATTTAACACAATAGTTTGTCACTAGACAGGTCATCACTTCACATCAAACACAAATGATACAAAAACGACCGACTTCTAATAAATTGCGATACCAACTTGCTTCGACAAAATTTCAAGTAAAATTAAATTACAATTCAATTCGGAATCCTTTGCTTTTGACACAACAATATTTCGACTTTGGTTTAAATTTTGGTGTTATAAACCGAATGGAAAGATGCCCAACATGTTTTAACACATTTCGGATCTGCTGTTGCATATCAAACTGTACAATATTCTTCACTGTTCCAGCTTAAAGCAAAATAACGAACACCACATAACTAACAAAGTTGGTCCAAACTGTTAGCTTTTACACTTATACAAGAACTTATATGATTAATACGCGACTACCGCTGTACTGTGCCACACAGATTTAACACACAGTAGCTATGTTTCTTATTATATCTAACTGGTCTGGGGGTGTTTAGGGTATATTTTATTTCATATTATGGCTATATAAAGTATTATGGGAACAATTGCAGAGCTGGGCCATCGTTTCCTTTAAAGGTCGTATTTATAAATTTTGGATATTTCATTTTTATCAGTCTTTACCGTTTACACGTTAGCTATATATATTTTTGCCTCTAGATACGCGGTTTTTTGTTCCCGTGTATCTGTAATATGTTTTGTGACATACTTATTTTAGACGTTCCCAAACGTTAACCAGTTTTGAAACACAACATCCGTGTAGTTTAACCGAAGAACAACAGATTGTGAACACGAGACTCTGTCATCAATATTCCACACCCTTGGGCATGTTTGAATGAAATATATGGCAAGAAGGGTACACCGAGAGCGCGCCATCGCGTTAATTAAAAAGATAGGAGAACCAGAGGCGTCGCCCAAAAATATAGGTGGGCATAATCACAATTTTATCCGGAGATGTGGTCGATGTTTTTTTTTAAGCAGAGACGGTCCACTAGAGATCGGCAAAGGCTTGGAAACAGGGTCGGAGAAAGAACTTTAGAGGAGGCACTGCAAAGATTATGGTAAACCCAATGTAATTTAAAATAAATACAATCCTAAACAATAAAATATTTCAGCATAAAGCATATATCACTGTGGGCCCTCGTTGGGATGCAGCATTTGCTCCTAGGTCAATTGTAAATCTGGCACTGGAAAAAAAACGTGTGTGGGGTCCTCCTTTCAATGAGGACTAAGCAGTTGCTTATTTTGTCTAATGGCTAATCCAGGGCTGCCTGCACGACGGCAACTCGTGGCTGTGCCTCAACAAGGACCTGTGCATTATCCCGAAACATCTGCAAGATTGCACGCCTCCCGTATTGATTGCTGCTACTGTGAGGGGTTCACGCTGCCGGACAGTGTGCCAGACGGCCTTACGTAGAATAAATTTAATTGATCGATGCTTTGGGACACGATATCTTTGATTATAAGTGAGTGAAAGTGACGAAACTAATAGACCTGCAGCCAAACTTTCTAGTTTGCTTCGAAACACAATTTCGCGACAAGGTCTTCGTAGCTGTTATACATGTTTTGGAAACTTAAAACACTACCCTGCATATCATATTCCTCGTTCATCGCGAATACCAAGTCTCACGCTTTCAGGCTAAAATGTCTACCTGTGATAATCGAGTTGCAAAGTTTAAGGTCCGTTCAATGTCAAGGTTTCCGTGAAGTTCACTATGTCACAACCTCTGATTGGACGCTACTGTTCACATGTCTGCAGATAACGTAGCTATAAATTAATCTAGCAACGTCCAGATGTTGTAAAACTCGCAGTCGTTTCTTCAGGAACATGGGGGTCGGATGCCCTCCACCTGAAAATTTCGAAAACTAAAAGCCCGGAAATGCCATTTCCAATGGTCTGAGACGAGTATCCGGTTCTAAAATAATGAATTATAATAGGAGTGTTTACACAGATATGTACAACACAGCTCAGGTGCGGTTTCCCCTTGTCAGTGGTACAGGGCGGGAGGGGGCTGGAAAGGACAGTATCCAGTCGTTCGGAAAACAATATTGATTCAACAAACTGAATCGGATTGAACAACAGACCAGGGGCTATGCAAGGTCTCTTAAAACAGTATTTATACTCGTATATGTAAATCTTTAGTTCAGATAGATTTGAGGCTAAATTCCTAACAAATATTTGATGTGATACAAAGAATCTATAAATATGTTATTTTCTCATTAAAAGAGATATTTGAAAAAAAAACCCTCTAAATTATATTTTAAACATGCATTATGCAAGAGCAAAATCTGCTTATTACAAGTCTTTCTTAGGCCTGAAATGTTATCTAAATTATCAATTAGACATTAATTAACTTATCCAGACCATAATAAACTCTCGATGTCAAGGCTAGCCTTCGATGTTGGCTGGATTAGATTCCTATATGCCGCTAACCTCTATTGATAATTAAATCAATATAAGTGGATAATCGAGACTATGCTGTTTATATTAATGATTTTAGTAATGATGACCGAGACTAAGCAAAAATTTCAGCCGCTTCTTTCTCGGCTCATAGTGGATCAATTTGACTGAAATTTTCAGCAAATTACCTTTACACTATCTAGTTTTTAACTATTATAGCGAGAACTGCCATCTCTTTATCTTATCTCCCATAATGTATCTTTAAGGGAGTGGCAATTGTAATGAAGGGGAAAAAATCGAATGTCTTACTGTTTATATAATTATATCATTTACTTGACAATTATGACGATTTTCATAAGGCCCGAAATCGAGTTAGTGCAAACATTTTTCTGGGAACATTCTGATTTATATTCCAGGTGTTATAAGCTTTCGGACAGCACACCTATAAGTTCGATAATGAGCATTTTCCACTCTGGTTGAACAAAGCGCTAAGCAATTGGATTGGTCGAGACTTTGGAGCAGAATGGTGTCAACGTTATGCACTGACCAGCCCTTAGGCCGGACTTAAATTGGTTCCAGGTACCAATGGCGTTCATTAATCGTCTGGCCCACTCCATGTACAAACGCTGCATTGCTGTTATTGACGTTCGCAGTGGACACACCAGATACTGATGTATAGACTGTGTACAGACTCTAAACCTTCTCGTAATGTCTTGGAATTGTGATGAATTAATCACTAATGTGTCTACATACTGTTCACAAAAAATTGCTTTGATCCATTTAATAAGTTGTTTTCTAGAATGATTTGATTAAAGTGCCGCTCTGATTTTGAAATCGTACGGACGTTTTTTGGGGGTTTTTTCCGTTTAGTATAAGGCCAAGCAGAGATAAACAAGAGCTTTAACTCTGAGTGATTGAGAAAGATTAAACGTGGTGTATAGTTTCACTATATCAAAACCTTGGTTAAGTTCAATTATGATCATTTTATGCTTAGGCTAAGTTTGGATAAACAGTTTGGCTGCTCGGTGTATTACAAAACGATAAATGTTAATTTGATTAATATATTATTTTTTTATATTGGGATTGAGGCCGGGGACTTCAGTCACACTGTTGGCTTGTTCGTAATACCTAGCCATAGACTTTATATGCAGTTTGCATCCTAGATATCCATAACTGTCGATGAAAACACATTTTCAAACCATTAAGAGAAAATGCTTACATGTTTCCAAAAACTTTACAGGAAGCTTTAGCCCCGAACAACGAACACCCATGCGGGCATTATTATCACTTTGTGGATCGCACCCCTGCCCTCGTCACTTTCAGTTTTACCCGTTTCTTATCTACTTCACTTTACTCGATTTTGTTTTAGTTTCGTTTCGTAGTTCGAAGTGACCAACTCAAATAGGGCATCTTCGTTCTAGAACTTCCCATGGTCAACACTTCTCGA